GCGTTATAAAGTGACGGTCAATCCCACTATTCGTTAGTAAAAGAGTAGCCCAAGAGTTGGCGGTGGGTGGTGATGACTAGCTGCCTTCCCTCTGGTCTTACACTGCTAAATTAGGGACGACTAGCGCAGATAGCCCTCGTGTAGCTTTGCGCGAAATTCAAAACAACATAAACCCGAGACTTTTGGCTAACAATAAATGAGTTTTAGAATTGATAAGGATTTTCTGATTTCTAAACTTTCAAGGAAAACACAGCAGGCCTTTGTTCAAATGAGTCCAGCACTTCGTTGACATCGACAAAGTTAAGATACTGAGTGGTACACTGTACTGTAGAATAAAGAGAAATGTGCGCTATTTACGTGAAGAGCTAAGCCTTCTGAAAAACAGGGATGTTTCTGTATTATTACTACTACAATTGTAGCAAATTATGAATTCGTTTCCAGCTCTCCAGAAAACAACAACAATACCAAGAGATTTCTAAAGACTTGTGAGAAAGGTTTAAGCTTAATGGCTATTAAAAAAAGACATGCATACACGGTTTTATAACCCCCTCGGGATTCCATTTGGAAATCAAGTTAAGCCTTATTAATATTACAACATGCACTTTCTGTTGGTAAAACAAGCAATGGAACTGTACCGTCGAAGTTGATAAACTGTAAGTTTCAGTCAGTCAGTAGTATAGGAAAGCTTTGTCATATGCTTTCAGATTTACAGCTGAGCCACCAGGGGGCAAAAGTATTCGTAAAGTGAATATATACGTGTGTGTGTGTGTGTGATAGGATAAGGTTGAAACTGTTTTTATTAATTGAGAACATCACTATAAAGTTCCTCCGGTAGGACAATGGCAAGTCTACGGAATTAAAATGTTGAAATCCGGAGTTAGATTCCACCTCGGTAGACACAGCAGTAAACAAACAATTCTTCTACAGAAGTAATGACTCCAAGAAGTAATTACTCCAAAACGCGCCTCTTCATTCTCCAAATTCGAATGATCCAACTTTTCACCAGGGAAGGGTCAGAGTAGCGAAATCAAATAAGGGCAGAATACGGGTGTCTATGTTATGACTGAAGACATTTAGAAGCGCGTTGGTCAACATTACTCCTAAATACGGGATGCTCATATTGAAGGGTAAACACAAATAAGTCTTTTCATAAAACGAATTGATTTTCTAAATTCACAGAAAAAGTAACTCCTTGATATAAATATTTCTGGAATAAAAGTTGTTTATTTTTTTTATTTTTTTGGAAACATGGCTGGGCAACGCAGATATTATCAGGACTGAAAGTACTTATGAACTGATGTTGTCAGGGCTGAAGGTAATTATGAACTGACGTTATCAGGGCTGAAAGTAATTATGAACTGATGTTATTATGAACGGACGTTA